TTGCCCTGTGTTCCACTGTCTTTAGACAAACCCCCTCTAGGGGCTTTGGGAGAAGTCTCTGACGTGTCAATTCCTGATGGAGATTCATGGACAGGGGATGTCCTGTCTCTTGTCTTCACCCTACCTCTGCTTGAGGGCAGCCATCTCTCTTGAGTGTCTGGTTTCCCGGACACATGTCTTCTCCCTGCATCTCTGGTCTTTGAGGAAACAGGACTCAGGAAGGAAGCATGGGGTTCCACGGTACCAGGCAATTGCTCAGTTTCTGATGCATCCCAGACCAGCATCAAAGCCTCTGACTCACCCACTGCCTTTTGGCCCTCCCTCTCTTTCTGAAGTCTGGGGGATGCCTTGGGGCAGGAGAGAGCCTCAGGCCCAACCTGGTTTCTCTTAACAGTGTACAGTACAGCTCCAGTTTTGGGGGGAAATTGAGGAGTCTCTGGTGAATGAGGTGGTGGGCCATCCAGGAGGAGCTGTTTTGTAAGAGTCACTTCTCGAGGGGACGGCAAAGTGGCCCCCACTGGCAATCCTGCTTAGGAGGAAAATAAGGATCTCAGGGTACTGTCAGGATCAAGATGCACCTAAGCATGAGAATTTACCATAGGTCACTGTGGCCAGGTACTGTGCAAAAATTCTAATACAAAAGAGGGCCGGGCATGGTGGCTCACACCTATAATGCCTGCACTTTGGGAAGCCAAAGTGGTGGGATCGCTTGAGGCCAGGAGTTTGAGACTAGCCTGGGCAATATGGTGAGATCCCATCACTACAAAAATTATAAATAATAAAAGAGTTGGGTGGAGGTGGGGGGCATAATGTCACTTATGCAAAGATATAAAGTCCTACTGCCAAAGCTGAGAATGGCCCAGTCTTTACGATGTAGATTATAGTAGATTTGGAGATGGGGGAAGGGTTTTAGGAATGGAAAGAAAAGACAATGTTGAATCGCATGAAATTTGTGGCATTCTTAATTCTGCAAGAGGAGTGAGGCCATAGGACAGAAAAAGCCTGAACAGGAGAAGGGCTTCCTATGGGTACATCAGTGAAAGAGGTAGTATATCCATCCCTGTAAAGGCTATTTATCCAGGCTCATGGAGGTTCCTGTCTGGAGTACAGGAGAATGAGACAGGAACAGAAGGGCTGGGTTGGCAGATCACTCACCTGAAACAGGCATCTCTCCCTTTCTGGTGGTCCTGACAGTCCTGCTCTGGGTGGCCTCAGTGCTCTCCCGCTCCTCTGGGGCTTCCTCTTCCGTCACATCCTTGCCCTGCCCAGCTTCCTTAGTTCCAGGCATAGGACTAGCCTCTCGGTGGGGGCTGCTGCCCACCAACTCATGGGGCTCCTTGCTCTTGTAGGATTTGCTGTCACAGACCTGCAGGGATGGTCTACTGGGTCAAAGGTGTCCTGACCGCCTATGTCTTTGATTGGGGCCCACTAAAGGAAGAAGCCCTGCCTGATGCTCACCAAGTCAACCCACATGCATGTCTGCTCCAACAATTTTGTTGACAGGGTTTCAACTGCGTGCAGTGGTACATGCCTATAAACCTAGCTACTTGGGAGGCTAAGGGGTGAGGATCACTTGAGCCCAAGGGTTCAAGATCAGCCTGGGCAACATAGTGAGACTCTCTCAAATGACAACAAAAAGAAAAGATAGACAGGGTCTCAGATGACACAGATTATCTTGCCCAGGCTGGAGTGCAGTGGCTGTTTACACAGGCATGACCATGGTGGTACACTACAGCCTCAGACTCCTGGGCTCAAGTGATCTCCCAGCTGAGCCTCCGGAGTCCTCTGTTGCCCAGCTACTCCTCTAAGGATTTGATTTTTTTTCTTTTTTAAACACGGTCTCACTGTCACCCAGGCTGGAACTCAGTGGTATCATCATGGTTCACTGCAACCTCTGCCTCCCTGCTCCAAGGATTTTAAATTGCCCAGAATAGAGTATTGGATTCCACAACTCCTTCTCTTACTAAGAACTGTGTTTTTCCTGCCAACCAACTCCACTCTAGAGAACCAGGATTACTTGTAGAGACTATTTTCATGACAGAGGTTTATTTCATTTTCTAATATCTGAGGGAAATATTTTAACTGGTATTTTGTTTTTCCAATTCCAAAAGTTTTACAGAATTCTCCTTAAAAAACAAAATCACGTATTTGTAGCAGATTCCATTTATTTTGCATACGTACACATATATGTGTACTGACTGTTTTTTTTTTTTATATATATATATATATGCCTTTTTAGGAATTCAGTAAGGTACAATTCTTGGTAGCAAACAATGCCCCCAGCAGCTCTGATACCCCTTAGGACCAGTACCCTTGATACTTTCCTCACCTTGCTGCTACAGTGGCTACAGCTCCGCCTTTTGCTCTTCTTCAACTTGGAATCTGGACCTCCTTCGTGGCAGGAGCAGGCACAGTCCTTGGTCCCATCTGGCCACTCAGTCTCCTAGGAGATACTTGGGCTTGATTAGCTGCCAAGTTTTTTGTGTGTGTTGTTTTTTTTTTTAGACAGAGTCTCACTCTGTGGCCCACGCTGGAGTGCAGTGGCA